CCAAACCCGCCCCCCTTCCCCACTGTCGGAGTAGCCGGCAAGAAGGAACTGAGGGGGCGCCGGGTCGGCTGGGGTATATATTCAGCGCCATGAAGGCGCCACTTTAGGGGGCTCCACAGCCGACCCGCCGGTGTTGCTAGGGTAGAAAATTTTCCGACGATCGTGCACGCGGCGCGCGCACACCCTAATGGAATGGATATGAGCAACACATCTCGAAGAACAACAGTTACAACGGTTAGTAACAGTCTTTTTTGTCTCCTCTTCCATGTTGTTGGGAGAGGTGGGGACAGAGAGCTGTGAGCAGCCATTTTCTTATGTGTAGAAACATTGGTCTTAGGGTGTGGAGAAAGTACAGCAGCGTGTCTCTACCTCATTCTTCTCAGTGAGCCAGGTTACAACCAGGTGAATTTTGGCCATTTACTGCTGTCTCCAGAAGGGCATTCATCAGCCAGTTAGTGGTGAGAAGGGCATTCATCAGCATCCTGTGCACGTGACAATGGTGTATGCTGCATGTCTTTCAGCCTCAGCACAGAAGCTAGACAACTGGGCCATGGCCATGTGTGCAAATACACTACTAAGCACACAGATATTTGGAGCTATAGAACATTTCTTTATTAACTTGTTAAATTTACATTCCAACGTGACAGAAGGGAAATCAAGAGGATAATTATTTTTAAACCAAAAATACAATACTTCTCAATCAAACATGAGATGGAACACTAAAATGCTGCTACTACTAAAATTAAACAGGAAACTTTAATAAAAAGATAAATTTAGGTCTCAGTCCTGCAGTTTGCCTCATGTTGTTAGGCTTTGAGAAAGTGTAGGGATTCCACACATGATGACCTATTTGCAGGATCGGGGCCTTAGTGACTTGCTAGGGAATCTGACAATGAGAAGGAAAATACTGAGGCAGGGGAAGGGGAAAACATATTGAGCAGTAGTCTGTTGTGTGTCTGTACCTTCTGTAGATTGGGGTTCTCCACTTTTTTCTCTGAGGCCCTCCCCCAACATGCTATAAAACCTCTACGTCCCAGCTTTGTCACAACTGGTTTTTTTGCATATATGGCAGATTAAAAATTAGGGCTGGCATTAGGGGGTAGCAAGCAGGGCAATTGCCTGTGGCCTCAAGAGGTTGGGCTTTGGCTTTCTGCCATGAGCCCCAGCGAGGCTAACACAGGCCCGGCTCTCTGGCTTATTTTGGCTGACCTTCTGAAACCTGCTCGTGGACCCCGGACTCCAGGTTGAGAACTGCTGCTTTAGATAAAAGTACTATATTCTGTTGACATTCTAGGGCTAGAGGTTGGTTCAGTACCTTTTTCCTTGCATGTTTGCTAGCAACTTTCCAGAATGACTTCCTTTCCTTGCTTTCCTTTTGGGAATTAAACAGTACAGAAAACTCCCATTGGCTTCAAAGTGGAAATGTGGTGTCATCAGGTGCATGGTCTAAGATCAGAATTGAAAAGCAAGTAGTAATTTACAAGTTGGCTTATTTTGCTGTTTTAGGTAGACCTTCCTCAGAAAAGTTAACAGAAAATTAGATATCCAGCAAGGTTAATATAAGGTGAAAACCAGGGTTCTTTTTATTTTGGTATCTGTTTGGCAAGAAGGTACACTAATAAGGAAATAGGCTGGACCAGCTGCCTTGAGTGTTTCTTCCACTTCTGTACCATGTGTGAGATTCTTGACTTTTATTTCTAAAACTCACACAACATGGAAAGTGATGGATGTATTGAAGTGATATCTATATAAAGAGACTTAAAACATTTTAGGTACTACTGGATGAAAGGTTGTATACCTATTCAAGGTGGTCTTTTAATACTGCTGAGATTTGGTTAGTAAGTTAGTCGTTATTATCTACTTACGCTTGTTTAAGCAGCTGTTTTGATTTTTAACTTTTATCTTAAGATCTAGTTCTTAAGGATTGTTCTGAATGTTTTCCTTTCAAGTTAAAAACTACTGAAGCTGAAAAAGTTGAATGGGAGTCAAGTAAATCCCAGCTTCAGCAAACTTTAGAAGAGAGCAAAGAGAAAATTAAGAAGTTGGAGACCTATTGGTTAGAGGCACAAAGTTTATGCAAGACTGTAAATGAACATCTTAAAGAAACCCAGGAACAGTATGATGCCCTGGAGAAGAAATACAACAAGGCCAAGAAATTACTTAAAGATTATCAACAGAAGTAAGTACACTAAAGTGAAATAATTTCATGAAAAGATTTAAAAAAACTGGTCTTTTTCTTGGTTCCATCTGCCCGACATAGGCAGAGCTAGTAGCAACACCTCTAGTTAAGGTTGCTTAGTACTCTCCATTATAAGATCCTGTTTCCAGTTGCTTATAATTCTTCCAAACTTTAACCATTCAGGCTGAATTTTTCCATGCCACTAGTCTGCCAAAGGCTGACTTTTTGCGGGGGAAGTTTCAGCAAAACGGTTCAGCTGTTTCTGTGAATGCAGGTAGGAAAAAATATATTTTCAAAACAATGTTAAAAATTCTAACAGCGGTTTAGTTGTGTGACATACCATGGTACAATCCAGACTGAATAGCTGTGTCACCTCTGCCCTCTAACCTGGGATGCCCTTTAAAATGCGTTGTTGTAGCCTCCAGCCTGGATTGCTCATAAACAGCCTCCAGCATGCAAGTCACTTTCAGCTATGTCTGTGTGTGTGCTGCAGCCACACTTTGGCTCTTACCAGCTTTTATCAGCCTTGGTTACCTCACCACCCTGCAGGGTGACCCCAACACACCCCCATTCTTATTTCTCCCCCCCACCCCCCGATATGCATGTCCTGTACTGCCCAGCCCTCTCCTGAACAATGCAAGTTTATATAAAGTCTGTTATTTCTCTAATAGAAATAATATGCACAGAACTTGCCACCACAAATGGAGTTTCCTGGATACTTCAGTTTAAACACTGGATTAGATAAAACAGGTTTTATTAACTAAAAAGAGAGATTTTAAGTTAGTACAAGTAATGGGGCTAAAAGGTCAGAAATGGTTACAAGAAAAATAAAGATAACATACAAATGGTGCCTATCTTAAACTGTGTTAAATTCAAAGCAAAGTTTTCTCACTACATGCTCTCAACACTCTTCAGACAAAACTTCTTAGGTCAGGACCCCTTCTCCCAGAATCCAATGAATGCTTCAACCCTAACCCTATGCGCACTGAGTATGTTGCAGCCAAGGGCTGCAGTGTCTGAGCAAGACTTTCCTTCAGTTGTTACCCCTGGTTGCTGTGAATGCCAGGGGCAGCGAGGGAGAGAGGGGGGGTGTCTTGGGGTGTTGGCCCTTCCTTTTTATAGTTTCAGTACCCCTTTTGAAAAACATTTCCAGCTGGGTATCAGGAGACAAAAAAGTCTATGGAGAAGGATGTTCCCTGCTCTTTTTTTTTCCTCATCCGTTTGAGCTTTCTTTCTCTCCCCTTCCTGCTTGATGACTCTGTTTACTGCTTAAATGCAAATTAAGCAGAGCGCACATTCATTTATTTAGGATGGACCTGTTTTGCCAACTTCTGTTTGGGTAGGGCTGTGCCTGTGGAACATGTGTTGTTAATATACAAGGAAATCTTAACTTCACATACAACGTTGCCCCACACATTTTATTAGGATACCATTGTCCAGCAAATTATGAATTTTCAAATAATACCTTACCAGGCATACTTGTACAAAGATTATTACAATAGTGTGTAGGGTGTGGACATGGGTACATTCACAAGAGAAAGTGTAGACCCTCCATGTTTGGAAGACAGACTTGAAATTAGCATGTAAGTTTTCTTGTGTTCAGAGAGGTGCCTCTTGTTATCCTGTGAAAATCCATCCAAATTTGGTCAATTTAAAAGTTTTTGATAATTGCTGTTCACATATACTCTATAGAGATTTGTTTATAAGATGGAAGCAAAATTTTCTAAATGTTCTATGCGCACTGAGTATGTTGCAGCCAAGGACTGCAGTGTCTGAGCAAGACTTTCCTTCAGTTGTTACCCCGGGTTGCTGTGATATCAGGCATTGGATCTGAAAGTAGGGAGGTTGTCTGTCTTTCTTGTTCTTGCAGTGTTCTCCCTGTTGGTATCCCAGCAGCGTAGAGGAGAAAAGAGCAACAGCCTGACTCAAATGCAGAAGGGAAATAAGCAGGAGGGGGGGGGGGAAAGGAATCATATCATGAGTGGGGGATGGGTCTGGCTGTATACTAGCAGTGGGGCACAGAGACAAGCTGAGGAGATAAGAATTGGGGACACCGGAGCAGTGTCAGAAGGGGACGTACTGCCGGGGACAGGGCTGATGGGTCCGTAACCAATAGACATAGTCTTTGTCTAAGACATAATCTTATAGAACCCAGGATTCCTAAGTCTCGGCATTCATGTGCTGTCTAGCAAATAGTTGTGAGACTTGCAGGCAAAGTGTGTCTCATCCTCCACTAATGACTGGTCCACATGGATAATAACTTACTACTGCTACCAAATACTATGTTACTTCAAGTGGTAGAAGGCTATTGTGTGGCTCTAAAAGTTTCAACCTGTGCTAGTATTATTGTAGCACATGGGAGCAAGAGTCATGAATCAGGACTCCATTGTGCTAGGGGGTATATACACAAACCAAAAAGACAGTCCCTGCCCCCAAATTGCTTATAATGACCCATATGGGGATAAATATAATTCCACAGGATTGAATTTATTTTTTCAGTTTGCTTGTTTAAAACTTAAGAAATGGGATGCAAAATCCTAAATTAAATGAATGTTAAGTTTATAAAGTCAAATACTCAAAACTTAGGAAATACCAGAGTTAAGGCTGTCTGTGCAACTTTTAATTCAGCCCTTTGTGCATATGCATTATGATAGTGTTTAATTGCATGATCCATACGGTTTCCCTCAGTACTCCTGCCTCATTCATAGAATTGATGGGGGCACACGGATTGAATTGGGGTTCTGTATTGACAGAGGTTGTTTATAGGACCTCTGCCTCATTTGTTGCAAAAATTGGAAGATGTGTAGTGAAAGAGTCAGAGGACTTCAGGAAGAGAAAGGATGGTCTCATGGTTAAGGCAACTGAATACCACCTGAAGAGCAGATTATCTCTGTCTCTGTTACAGTTTCCTATATGATGCTGGGCAAGTCACCTATACTAGAATGTTCAATAGCCGGCCACTAACTATGCTCTTTGTTTTCTGGGTGCTTATCTTGAGACACTTGGGACTTGGTTTGTAGAAGTGCTGAGCACTCTCAACAACAAATGTACTCAATGGGAGCTGTGTTTTGAACATATGGAGGGCTATGAAATGCTGAATACTCTAGGACCTGATTTTTCAGATATCACAAACTGAGCATCCAGAATTATAGTACATACTTCTGACCATTTTTGCCCTTAACCTGTGCCTCAGTCCTCCATCTCTTAAATGTCGATAATAATTCCACCTTACCTCTCAAAATGTGAAAATTAAATTGTGAAGCGTTCAGGTAATATGGTGATAATTACCATAAAAATCCAACCCACCTTGTTCTCTGATGGCCCCCTGGGACCACTGCTCCATCCATACCCCACAATCCCCTGTTCCCTGACTGCCCCCAGGACTCCTGCCCCTGACTGCCCCCCACCGCCCCATCCAACCTCTCCCTCCTTCCAGACTGCCCCCCCGCGACCCCTGCCCCCATTCATCCTCCCTGTTCCCTGCCCTCTGACCGCCCCGTCCACCACCCCAAACTCCCCTGTCCTCTATCCAACCCCGCCTGCCCCCTTACCGTGCTGCCTGGAGCACCGGTGGCTGGTGACACTACAGCCATGCTACGCAGCACAGAGCACCGGGTCAGGCCGGGCTGTGCAGCGGCGCTGCCCCAAGAGCTCTCAGCCTGCTGCCCAGAGCATTGCGGAGGAGGGGGAACAGCAGGGGAGGGGTCGGGGGCTAGCCTCCCGGGGCAGGAGCTCAGGGGCCGGGCAGGAGCCGCGTGCCGCAGTTTGCCCACCTCTGGTCCAGAGGCTTGAGCAGGAAAGAGGCAAAATGGAGATGCTTCCAGGACTTTTTATAGCTTCTGCCATGTCGAGAGAAATCCATTGTTTCAAACAAAGCCGTCGTCAGTGCTAGTGGAAAATTATAGGTACAAGATGGAGTTTGGAGTCACGTGAGCAAGTCACATGTCCATGGATGACTTCACTTAGTCCTGGCAGGAAATTCCATTAACAGTGGATAGGTGTCTTCCACTGTAAGTTAGTGTTCTTTAATGAGTCACTTAATTTGAATAGTCCCTTCAAGATGTGCAGGCTAAATACCTTGTGGGCATTACCCCAGGGGCAAACATTTGAAATACAGGTATAGAGCGAATACTCATAAATTCAAATACAAAAATGATACATGCATACAAATAGCATAATCATATTCAGCAAATCATAATCTTTCCATAGACCTCTTACGTACCACATTTTGTATAAGATTTGTTGCAAATATATAATAGTGGTTGCAACAATGATCTATATGGTCGTATTTTAATCAGATACCATCACAGTTGCATTAATACTTTTCCTGGTTTTTCCCATAGTTTCTTTCTAGCTGTGATGTTTCTGAAAGAGAAACTTTGTTGCATGATGCTGAACACAATGGGGCCATAATCCCTGTTTGATGTCCCTAGGTGCTAAATAAATTAATTAATGGGGCACTAATCAATTAAGTATTAATTACTTAACTTTCTTCTTCGAATAGTGTCCTTGTGGGTGCTCCACTGTAGGTATATCTGCGTCCCTGCGCTGCTAATCAGAGAACTTTGGTAGCCGTGTCAGTTCAGCCTCTGCCACGAGACTAACCAGTGTGTGTGAGCAAACCCTTTTCAGTTTCTTCTCAACCACCCCGGTTAGAGACTGCGCTTTAGCTGTCTGTTCACGGATTGTTAACTTTTTTTAGAATCCCTAATCTTTAGCTTCCTTCTGAAACCTCTTTTCTTCCTTTAGTTTCTTTACATTTTTATTTGGCCATTGTCTAGAAAAAGAAAAGACTTTGTTCTTTCATCAAGCCCCAGTTTGGGGGGCTCTGTGGGCTTCAAGAAGTGTCTCAGTTGCAAGGAATTTATCCCAGTGACTGACGGGCACTCTCAGTGCATCTGCTACCTAGGAGAGAAACATCCCACAAAAGTGTGGTTTGTGTCAGCAACTGAAGCCCAGATCCAGAAAGGACCGAGAACCGAGGCTCAAACTCCTACCCACGGAGTCTGCCCTTCAACCACCCAAGCCATGGCAGGAGACCTCGCCACAACCCTGTACTTCGAAGGGAGGAGATCCCAAGGAGCTACCCATGAGCCATTCATGTAAGGCCTCTAAGAAAAGGTCCATGAGTCCCCATAGCGAGTCCTGATTGAGCTGGAGATCGTTTTTTGCTCTATCTGTGATTGGTATCTAAATATCAGCCATAGCTTCCTAAGAGGCTGTGAATAGTCTGCTCTTTTTCAGATATAGCAACGGTCATTAACTCCTTTCTTCTTTCCAAGGTAGACTACTGAAATGTGAGCTATCCCTGAAGTCAACTTGGAAGTGTCTGATAGTGCGAAACACACCTGTGGCATGTTTTGAGTAGTTGCTGTGAGCACACAATGCAGTTTCTGCACTTGCTGCTTCTCTGAGTGCAGTCTGTGATGTTTACCTCTACTATGCACATCTAGAATTACCACCTCTTACCCTGTGCCTTTTAACACAATTTAAGAGTCTCTTGAAAGGTCCCTCTCCTGTTCTTTGAAGCTTCCCTGCTCTGGAGCTCAAACATAACATGGATATGTCTTCTTACATTCTGGCTCTCGGCTCCACACTGCATTGTGTACACGGTTACCTGTCTGTCTGTCTGACCTGGACTATTATTTTCAGTCAGATTCTTTTAGTTGCTTGATTTTCTCCAGCACAGTGGTATTGCTGCATTTTATTTCACTGTAAGATGTTCCCTCTCCCCGGGACAATTTGCTTTTGTCCTTCTCGCTTTCTTTGGTAGGCAATTTCAGAATAATTTTTGTTATTGCATAAACCGCAGGCCATTACAGACTCACTCGGATGGGCTTAAAAAGGAAGTTGACAGGATATTGGCGCTTAACTGTGGAACTCTATCACAACCTATGGAATGCATATAGAATACTTTGGCAGCTGCACCATCTTATTTATGTAAAACTTAGGAAAAGGCAGAGCAGTTCCAATAGTTTGGGTTCTATATCCACATAACATCTTATACTCATACATATTTGTTTGAATTTTTACAGGTAAAAATAGCCAAATGGAATTTTCTAAAGAATCTTAAGAGTGAAAAAGTGCCACTGACCTTGTATAGCATTTTAAGATTCAGCCCAGAGTAAACTTTACAGTTATAACTCCTGTTTTTCCTGGTGTGTATGTGTATATGTATGTGTATATGTGTATATATATATATATATATATTATGCACATACTTGAGGGGAGAGTGGGCTTAACAAAAAATAATGAACACCGTTACTGGAAGTTGTGTGATGACCATTTGCAGTGTTTAAATAGTGATGTTGCAACAAGTATAATTAATTGGATAAATAACCAATTTTAATATGTTTCCTTATCACCTGAAACCCTTCTAATGTTGCAGTACAATTGTATCTTTCCCCCACTAGAGAAATAGAATTTATGAAAAAAGAAGAGGATCATACAAGGGTTCTTGAAGAGAGAGACAAGAAACATGCAGCGCAACTGCACATATTCCAAGAGGAGGTAGGCAATATAATATTTTTAATACAGTTTTCTCATTCTTGAGAAGTGGCATCTAACTTTGAATTTTAACATTTGCAGATTTCAGAGCTTCAGAACAAATTAAAAATATATGAGCGAATACCTTGTATGATTAGCAGTAGCATTTTGCTGGACACTGCCTCTCAAAGTCCAGAAAAACTAAATGAATGCTCAGAGATTAAAGAAGAAAATACAAAAGAAATAGACTCATCAGCAGTGGAAAAATTAGTTTCTTCAGATACTGGTAAGTTGAGCAGTAATAAAGAGATTAAAAAGGCTCTAAAGCATCAACTGTAACCAAATAAGTTAATAGTGGTGTGTGTGGTGGAAGATAGCTATGTTTGTGTGCTTAAAAAAGAGAAAGTTAAAAACCGTAGTACAGAAAATGTTTTGTACCTATACTGGATTTTGGGGATTGTGTGGGAGGTGATAGGCACAAAGTTGACTGTGGTCCTTTTTTAATGGAGCATTATACATACCTTGATGAAAAGAAGTGTGTAGATTGGACACTGTGATGTATTTGCTTAAGTACCCTGGAAAATTTTTTTATTTTTAAACAAGCGTTGAGTTCTACTTTGAATGGCTCTTTGATGTTTTCTTAATGTACTAGAAAAGGACGATTTACATGATAGGCAATATTATATGATAGGGATCTTATCAGAATGCTGTACCAAACACAAAGGAAAAAGATAGGCATTTTTGGCAACACCTTTGCTACAACCTTAGGAAGTGTATTTGCTTACTTTAGTGTCTTGGGTCATTATTTGCCGGGAAACTGGCTTCTTGGATAGAGGTAACTTTATTTATCATGTGTCCTCATTGGAAATACAGTTTCCAGGTCATAAAATCACCAAGTCTGAATGGAATATTTTTTTTCCTTTCAATGTGAAGATTTTATGAGTTCAGTAAATAAACTTTACCCAATTGACTCAAATATTGAGATCTGACCGGCTGTCCAGAAACCCTTAAATTAATGGAAGCTTCTAATGCAGTGTTATCCCATTTCCTGAATGTCTGTTTGGTGATCAGAAGACTTATCCAATTTTCCTAAGAATCTTTCCAAAGGAGCATCTTTTTTTTATTTATAGCTTTGCACATCTTTATGGAAAGCATTGTTCCAAACACAGTCTGTGGACTTCAGGGAATCTACATCTGTTTGCTCGGTACTGAAGGATGGATGGACTTGTTTTGGTGCTGGATCTAAATGACTAAACAAATTCATGCCTAAAAGTTTTACAGGATGAAAATTTGTCAGCCATTTGAATATTTCATCTGTCTAACTCAAAGTATGCTCATATGCATGTTCCAATGGAAAACATTGCCTGACCTTTTCCCCCCCCCCTAGGTTCATGTATATTTACTAGAGTCTCCTATTTGTCCTTATTTTGTTAAGGTGATTTTGTACTCCACTACCCATATGTGATTGATTAACCATGTCTTATCTCCTTGGATACAAATAAATGCGCAAGAGAGAGAATGCTAACCCGGGAGAGAGACGGAATGTAACATTCTCCTCTAGTTTCTGCTTTGCTTTGTCTACCCCAGGCAATCCAGCACTTAGCAGTTCCCTTTAAATACCTGTGAAAAGATGTTTAAACTCCCATCAGGTTATTGGGATGACTTTGACTTTGGTCAGCTTTATTTATGAAGATGTGCAAATTTGGTCTTGATTGACTGGTTAGGGGTTTGTTAGGAACTGCAGTAGATTCTTTTCACGTTAGCTGCTAGGGCCAATTTAGACACTGGACAGTGTGGAACTGAACAAATACAAGGTATTAGAGAAAAAAAGTGGAAATAGAACTGGGGGGGGGGGAGAATGCTTCTTTTTAATACTCAACGGCATGAGTTCTAAAGCTTGGGATTGCAAACCGGTATCAAGAGGTCAAAACCATCCTACCCCTTCCATAGTACTAAATAGGGGAAGAGGATCCTGGAAAAGGTTGAGAACTTTTGCCCTAAGTTGATGATGATTCTTGGTCTAATAGGCCAGTGAATTGTTAGGGTAGACTGGTGAGACTTAAAGATAACATAAGACCATCCTGTAAAAAGTTGCTGTGGGACTGGGATTTGCAAGGTTTACCGTACCAGTTCTAGAAGTTTTGTGTAGTTCAGAGTGTTTATAGGAGGAGTAGAGGGGAGAGATTTGCAGTTAGCTGCTATCTGAGGCCTAAAAAAATCTGAAACAAATAATGGTTCTGTGTTCAACATAGGACAGGAAGGTATCTCCTGGTTTATTGAGTGCAGTCCCCTGCTGTTGTGGGCAACCCCATCGTATTATCTAGTTCACAAACTTAACAAACTCCATCTTAATGCTGCGTAGGTTGCTTCCTATTGCAAGGCTGTCCCAGAGCTTTATTCCTCTGATGTTTAGAAACATTCCTCTAATTTCCAGCCTAAATTTATTCATAGCCAGTTTTATACCCTTTTGTTTTTCTGCCAACATTATCCTTTAGCTATTTCTTCTCACTTACTGGTGTTTACCTTCCTGGTGTATTTATAGAGAGAATATCTCTTCTCAAATAGACTCTCCAGTCTCCTGATCATCACAGTAGTCCTTCTCTGCACCTGTTCCAGTTTGAATGCATCTTTCCTGAACATGGGTGACCAGAACAGTACAGAGTATTCTAGATGAGGATTACTAATAATGCCTTGTACTATGGCATTTAATACTTCCTTTCTCTACTAGCAGTTCCTCTTCTGATACATCCATATTTTATAGGATTTGAGTTGCCATCGCTATGATTCTTTAGAAATTCTACCCCATCATTTTTTCAGACACTCATATACACTGCCCTCAACTTACAGCCTTCAAAGTTCCTGGATGGTCTCTGAGGAGAAATGCAAGCCCTATTTAAAAAATAAAAAAAAAATGTGAGGTGTTGGCATGGACAGGTGAAATGTTCAACTTTTAACGTGTAACGGTATATCCGTGCATATGGCATCTGCAGCAGTTACCAGCTTTTGTCACATGTGTCCGATATACATGTGTCCTCTCATCTGTCAAGCAGGTAGCAACCAATCCAGAGCTAGAGTTTTTTTGTGCCTAGTCTCCCCCCATCCCCATCTGTGAAAGGCAAGCAGACTTCTGCCATTTATTCTCTTGCCTCTTTCTGGAACAACGGCAGTAGCCCAGTCTTTAGATGTGGTGGTTGTGTTTTCTTGAGACCCCGTACTTCAGAGCTCTGGTGAAGCAGAAGAAGTTTTAAGGCTTTTAAAAGAATCGGAGGGGGAGGGCAGAGATACCAAAAAAAAGCCTATTCTGTTCAACTCCTGCAGTGAGTCCTTACTGTTCAGTGTGTCCATCTTCTCCCCAAACCTCTTCTACAGTTCTGCTATAGTGAGCACAAGGAAGAAGAGGAAAATGATTGACTCTGAATAGGGTGCCCCTACCATACTCTAATAGCCTCTTTCAGTTTCGGGACTCTGAGAACAGAAGAAGAACCAGACATTAAAGAGGAGGACACCTGCTCAGAGAATCACAACAAGGATCATCCTGGAGATTGAGACATCCCAGGCTGCTCCTTGCTCATCAGCTTGTGAGATTTCACCTAACCCAAGCAATGGCCCTTAACTTTAGATTATTCATCTCTTCCTCCTTTGGGGCTCCCTTCCCATCTTCTCCAAAGAAGATTCTGAAACAGGACACTTAACCTCCTTCTTCACTGTTTCCAGGGACCTGTGTGCTGCCTCTCAATGGGAAAATCTTTCCCCCGCCCCCCCAACCCCGAGTGGACTTCCTGGAGAAGGGAGAACTGTGCCAAATTCTAATTTTCCTTTCCCTGATCTTTGTCCTACCCCTCCCTCTCATTCCTTGGAAAATCCTAATGGGGTTTCCCCCCAAGGAATAGGCTACTTAGTTTCCAGCCTCACTAAGACACTCAGAAGGTGTCTAGGAGAGCAAAAATCAAGCTTGGATGATGATGGACTACCAGTTTTTTGGTAAGAGGGTTTTACAGAACAGTTATTGCCAATGTATTACTCCATTCTTAAAACTGTTGAGATTGGTTCTTCTGAACTCAGATGCCCCTCCTTTCCTGCCCAGAAGCTGTCAACCTGAATCTTATTTGTAGATTCTTTCATGATCTCTTGCTTCCAGTCAGGTGTCAGGCTCAGGGAAGGTGGCTCTTTGGAAAACTTGGAGGAGCCTAACTTGTTTTTCTGCAGTTTTGGAAATTCTCAGCTCCGGTGTGGGAGTGGGGAGATGTCTGTTGGAGGAAAAGGGACTGAAAGAGCCTACTTTCAGATTGGCTGCCACATCTCTGACTGACAGATATAGGGACACAACGTTCATATAAAATGGTATTCTCATAATGGTAAACAATTAGCAGATGAGAGAAATTTTGTTTTTACTTTTGAAGATGTATACTGAAAGTAACAGAAAATACTTGACTTTTGCTAAGATTAATTTGTTTGAGAACTTTCCTGGCACAACTTTTTGTAAGTATTTTATGTTTGTTGCAGACTTTGATACTTTTATGGGGGATACTCCAAGATTAGATACTAGTGCCCATAAAGCAAAAGCTCAGCTTGCTCTGAAAGTAAAACGTCAGCCACCTTCTCGATCAAAGCTAAAAGAATCTCTTGGAACTGGACAGCAGAAATCCGTTCTACAGGTACCAATATCTATGTATAATATATATTCAGTACACTGTTTTCATTTATATTCACCATTTAAAATAACTATCCAAAATTAAGTTCTACTTTGTGACTTCTGACTAGAATCAGTAAATCCACTAAAGAATTATTTACCATTAAGCTAGAAATGTGTAAGCTGTTCACACAACTTTATGACGTTTCTTAAACTAAACTAGATCAAATCAGCTAAAACTGATGCTCATGCTAGGTTGGGTGAACAATTCCTTCAATGTTCACCCTCTATGCATAACTTTTTAAAAACAGCCTTTGTGAAAAACCAGCCAGGACAGGTTAGGCATTTTAGAACTCACTACTCAAAGAATTAAATTTAAGCATAAGAGAGAAATGAAATTATTAAATACATACACCATTCAAAAAACTAAAATAACAGCACTTTGAAAGAATAGAATTATAGAGAATATATGTGCATTGCAGGAAGTACCAAGAAAACAATAACAACAACACGTGTTGGGAGGTGAATGTGAAAAAGACTGTGTGTGAGTGTGCGTGCGTGTGTGCTGGCTGCTGGGGAAGTGTGAGAGACCGTGCGCTGTCTCCTTTAAGCAGAGAGGCACTCACCAGAAGGCTCGTTCAGACCACAGCAGCTCTGTCCTGCTCCTGAGCCCTGTCTCCCCTTCCCCGCTCTGCAGAGATGGTGTACATGGGTAGGGAGGAGAGGGACACCCTGATATCAGCACCTCCTTCTTCCCCCACTCTGCACAGCGAGCAGGAGGGTTGTGGGAGCAGCTGGCCGGGAGCTCCAAGGCAGAGGGCAGGAGCAACGCAGTTGCAGAGCAGCGGGAGTAGGGGCACCTGAACACATGTCGCCGGATGTGCATGTCTCTGCTAATCAAGTGTGCAGCACTTGGTTGACTCTTTGGCAGCTGCGCAGCTTAAAGGGAACATAGCCGGCTATATATTTTGCTGCCCATGTGTTTCAAGCCAGTTTTGCTTTCCTCTTCTGGAGAAGGAGTTCCTTTTGCCTGATTGTTTACCTCCATTCTGGCTCATAGTATATCCTTTTCTAAAATTATTTGCCTTTCTTTGTCAGTTCCTGTTTATATTGTGTGGGTTTTTTTTTTTTCCCCCTTTCAAAAAATAAAAATGTGATTTTGGGCATTGGTGCCATGTTTTCATGAAATGCTTGGTAGTAGTCTTTCTGCATGGGCTGGGAGTGCTTGTGTTCACTAACCCAGACAAACTCGCCCATCAAGGATACAACTCTGTATTGTGGCATATTCGTGTAGTCCTGGTAACTGATGACAACTCCTTTTCTGTGACCTTACATTTCTTATGTGGAAGGTCATTATCCTAGTGGCAGTGACTTAAGCTTGCAAAAGGTGAGCTTTAGGCCATAGTTACTGCTTTACCTTATACCAAGTTGTGCAAAGAGAAGGTGGTGTTAGAGACCCTTCCTGTTTTTTTTGTTTTTTTTCTGAAGAGAATGTTGGCATTCCACCGTACTGTCCTGTCAACATTCTTTGCATGCTGGCATGTATATTCTGGTGAAGCCCTTCTCCACACTGTGGATGTCAAAAAGACCAGATTTCAGAAAGGGGGCTTCTTGACTGGGAAAACCGAGAGGGGAAATAGAAAGGAAAGAGACTGGAGTTGTGAGTAGAACATTCTGGCTAAGTCTTGAAGGTCAGGTCAAAAAACGTGATCTTGATGCAGATGATGTGGGGAAGCCCCAGTTAAAGAATTTCAGGAGTGTGTGAAATGGCAGGAGTTGAATGATTTTAGTAGAATTATTTAGTTGGACCCGAGAGGAGCCTAGGAAGATGACACAATTCATGAAATCACCATTTTCAAGAGATAACGAAGGCATATCTGAGGGTTTTACTGGTTCAGATGAAGAGGAAATTTTGGCTTTTGGAGCTGTGGAAAGAGGAGAAAGTTGAAAATTCGCTCCAGATGATAACTGCAAATGATTAATAAAATCAGAATTTAGTTACTGATGACTGCTCTCTGTGTTCTGTGGTAGTATAATTATCTGTCTGTATGCAGGCCCCTTATCCCAGTATAATCTATGTCCTCCGATCATAAAAGCTTGAGGAATATGGAAAGTCTGTTTTTATTAAAATTAAATGTTGTATTACAATAAAGGTAGTTTATAAGGTCAATCTCCATGTGCATTGAGGAAAAATAAACTCCTACGTTTTAAACAGAAAACAGTCGACATAATTTCTTTGGCATATTAAGTTTTAAGATTGATTTTTGTAATACTTTATTTTTTTAAAGGCTTTTACTATAAATGTTATGACTGCACAATTGAATACTATATTTACCATAACCTCTTTTATTTTAAAATATATTTATAGGATGAGGATACAGAGGATGCTATCCCCAATAGAGAAATTGGTACAGCATGTCAAGTCAAGTCTTTAGAAGTAACAGAAAAGCTAACTTTATCCCAGTTGAACAATGCAGATCAAAGGATTGAAAAGTTTGAACCAGTGGAAAGCACAGAGAGTTTGTTAGAGTCAAGTCCTTCTGTTTCCACTCACTCTTCTCCAATACACAAACCAAACAATGAAAACAACACGAGTACTACTCACTCTCCTCCTAGCGATGATGTAACTCCCAGTTCTCCTCAAGCATATTCCAAGAATGTCAAGCACAGAGAATCAAAAGGGAAAGGAAGAGAGGCTAAAGGTAAGTCATAAAGGTTTTTTGAGGGTCTTTGGGTCAAAATGTTTTTTTTTTTTTTTTTTTTAATTAGTGTTGAACAGTAGCTATTGCATTCTCTGCCTAGAAAAGGAGAAGCTACTTATTCTAATGTAAAATTTATTCTTGGTGTAAAATTAATTGTATGCTATGAGACTAGTTAAAAATTTTAGCAATGTAGTATTACTGTCATATTCTGGATACCTAGTCCATACCGTAGCAAGGTTAGGAAAGCTTTGCGGATACAGACAAACACGGCTGCTACTCTGAAAAATGGAGATGATGTGGGTTATATTCTTTTGGAACAGGGTTTAGATATAGATGATTGAATAGTGGCAGCCTCTGTGCAGAGGGGGACATTACTTCTTAAAGTCCATATATGTTACATTGCTGTTTAAATGCCAGCATTCCAATTTCATACCTGGAGCAATGCTGGAGGTGAGTTTCCCTATCTTGATACATCTTGCAGCAACCAAGTGGCTAAAAGCGTCTTATTCAATGTCCCTTTGAAACAAACCATTCAAGACTCATTTTCAGCTAATTTTGCAGTGAATCCAAGATGACTAGTTTGCACAGGCACACATAGCTCAGTGAAGCAAACTATCATCCCAGCATCCAGGGGTTAAATATTAAACACTTCATTTGATGTTTTGATAAATAACTCTTCCCCTGTTCTTATAGAAAAATAGCTGACACAGTATTTTGTAATGAACAAGACTCTTGATAGAAAGAAAAATGTTAAATTTAATAGAATAAAGAGCTTAAAAATAGTACAGAAAAGAAAATGCTGATAACAGTAATTACACAAGTAATACTGCAGCCTCTAGCATTCAGAACCTGATGCTTGGTAACAAAAGACACAGGCTAGATTGCTCTGAAATTGCTAAATATAAGATGCTGAAAATTTAAGAAAATAAATTAAAATGGTACTCTGACTTCAGTTCATGTCAGGCTTTGGGTTCACAACATGAGCATGAAGTTAGATGACAAAATCTCAGTGTTAGACACCTAGGGTATGGCTCTGTTTACTGTTTGCTTGATACAACTCCTTTTTTATGGAGACTGGACTTTCTTATTCATCATATGAACAATATGTATCATGCTAATTTCTGTGTAATCTGCATCTAAAATGGAAAATGAAGATTTTGTTTAATACTTAAAACTATGAAAAATAGTGTTCTACAAATATTAATTGAACCCTCACAGCATTATTAGATTGATTATATCTCCATTTTTTTCAAAAGGAGAAACTGAGGCAGAATTTGTCTTGCCAAGGCCTGAGAGTCTATATCAGTCATGGATTTCTAGCACGAAGTCCTGTGTTCAGTCTCCTTAGACCATGTCTCTCCCTTTGAAATATTTTCAAGTAAATATCCAAACATTGGTTTGCATGAAGTTTATCACAGTATTTCAAGTTTTAAAATAACAGACTAGCCTAGCCAAAGTACCTTGATAGGCTTCTCATGCTAAAAGATCCAAAAGCACTTTAGAAATCATGTACATACAGCACTGCTGAAAAATAGCAAGCTCCCTGCTAGGGTGGGCATTTGCAGTCAGACAGCATGCTGTATATTAATGAAGTAGGGAAGGGGGAAGTTCATAGATTCCAAGGCCAGAAAGGACCACTGTGATAATCTAATGTGACCTCCTGTATCATACAGGCCACAGAAGTTCCCTGAAATAATTCCTATTTGAATTAGAGTACATATTTTAGAAAAACTTATCATCTGTACACGTACTACAAGTTTAGCTCATCATTTCTTTGGGCCATGACCTTAGACTTATTCATTTAGCTGATGTCAATTAACTCCTGCAAAGTTTCAGCAATGACCTGACCTTTTCCAAAGGTGAGCTGAATGTTCAAGCAAAATAGCAGGTTGTGAACATTCTGGCGAGTTACTGTATTAGGGCTTTCATATTTTAGGATGCAAAGAATGTGAGAAGGTTGATCAGATTATAATCATGCTGCTCACTAATAGTCATAATTCAAGAAAAGTATATGGTCTTTTTCTCATAGAGTAATTGAAAAAGGAACCAGATTAAATATTTTGTAAGGCAAATATTTCCTTCACCAGTTAACAAGCTGTGTTAAGGCAGATAATGATTGCACTCTATTGCAATGGACAATATCATTTTTAGATCCTCAGCCAACAGCAGCTGTTTTGTAATCTACTGATTCAGCATATCTCTGGAGTGCTAGCACTGAAGTGGTCTGTACACTTGACTGTACAAAAATTGTCTTGTCATAGCGTATACATAAGGTGCAAATGATTTTGTTTTCTTCTGCACTGAACCATAAGCAGGTATTGCCACAGAGTACGGAAATTTCCCTTGGTGACCCGAGGAAGTGTTTCAAGAGCTTGTCTTAAAACTGGTGGAGTTGTAGAGTTTAACGCCGTACATCAAAGATGATAGATTACTAATACTGCACGTTTATTCTCTGGACAAAATGACATTAAATGGTACTTCAGTGGGCTGGATTCTAACTATCTAATGAAATTTAATGCCTACCAATTATATTTAATGGTGGAGGAACAATCTTTTCTACCTCCTATCCCAGCCATACAGCTTGTATCAGTTGGTCTGTTTATTTTTTAAACAGTTGCACTGCTCTTTCACATTTTGGAAAATGTTACCTTTCTTTATAAAATTCTCTTGGAGGAATAAATGTCTGTTTTTAAACTTTTTTGTTGCAAAATAACCTGATTTAAAGTGCCATAAAGGAAACTAAGTCATGAGATGAGAAATAAAGTTCTGTCATTGACTGGAAATTGTTGAAGTGAAAGGATAGAAAATAAGAGGTAGGAATAAATATACAGTGTTCAACACGGAATTAGATTCCTAGTATGATGCACCTAGGAAGTATTTAATGTATTATCTGGAAGAGGATGAACAGTGAAGTGGAAAAATTTGCCAGTAACATTTTCTAAATTACTCCGAGTAATTTAAGATCTAAAAAACGTGAGGCAACTGTGTAACATGGAGGCAGATAAGTGCATGGTAAATGTGCCTAGAATGAAAAAATTTACTCACCTACTAAAAGAAAGGAAATTAGCAATCTCTCCACTAATCCTCGGTTGACCATATTGTACCTTCCTCTATATACAGGCCTTGGGGTGGCTGTAATATTTTCAGGGTGATATTTGTTCTGTCTGCCTTCCAGAAGCTATTCCAAATCATAAAAACATTACTTAATAACTTTTTATTTTAACACATTTATTAAAAAAAAAGTAATTTTACGCATTGCCATAAAAGCTTAATATTTTAATGAAAAACATGTATTTTGCTTTCCACTGAGTGGGCCAAATTGGCTGAGAGATTCCTAGAATAAAGAAAATTAGCAGATAAGTAATTTTTCCATTCTTGATCATTTTTCCACTATTCCTCCCTGATAGACAATTAGTGAGCAGTGGGAAATAAATGAGGGGGGGAAGAGGTAAGGACAGATAGCCCTGATTGAAGCCTTTGAAATATCTACTTAAGGACTGTTGACTGAAACACCCTCGTGTCGATGCTTGAAGATCCATTTTGTAACATTTAGTGAATGTGATTTGAAAATCAGGTTGTTGCTTACCATATCATATCCACTGAAGCCAATACTTTTTTTTTTTTGCAAGAGGTTTTCATTAACCTTGTGATATGGGCCCTGATCCTCTCAGGAAATGGGGTAGACACATATTTCAGCAATATAATATATCCTCTTGCTTACAGGAGTTTTTAATGACTGCTTTCCTTCATTCTTTGAGTAGTATTAAATGAATAGGGACATAGTTTCTTATATTCATTGCTTAGAGAGAGAGCGAGATTCATCCAGCTTGTACCATGCTTTTTTTCTGTTGGGCTGTATTAGAACAAAATGAAAGCAGTACAGTGTCTTGGGAAGTACGGAGTGGAGTGTTCATTTTGAAGTTTAATCAGAAGCTGTTCTAAGAGCTACTTTGCCTCATGAAAATATCGTACAGTTCTTCCACAGAGAATGCAGCGGTTTCAGACATCCACCCAGCGGATGTAGTTGCCAATAAGAAATGCATTTAATTGTTAAAATAAATGGATCCAATAAATTGAGAGGTTCAAAGGAAGTAAACATAAGGGTCTACAATACTATAGGGAGATCCCAAGTGGAAAAGATGGGCTGATGCAGAGGTTTTGTCAATTGAACTGCTCTTAAATTTGATAACATGGGGGATAGTAAGCCAAAGAAAAGTGGTAGTCTGAGTTGAAGACCCTTCCTAGGGTGAAAAGCTGGATCCTACTGAGTTGTACATCAGGACTGTGCATAGACCATCCTGAAGAAACTGTAAAATTGCTGGAATTTTCAGTTTCTTGGAATCAATACTTCTGTCTTTGTTCCAGTTTAAAAAATGGAATTCTGGTTCAGTTCCTTGCACTCCATATTCTTTATGAAAATATGCTTATGATATGAATATGCTATAACTGAGATCTACTTTATGCTAGATGGGACTTGTATCATTGGAAAGGCGATGATTTACTGAATCATAGAACTGGAAGGAACCTTGAGAGGTCATCTAGTCCAGTCACTTGCACTCAAGGCAGGACTAAGTATTATCTAGACCATCCCTGAAAGGTGTTTGTCCAACCTGCTCTTAAAAATCCCCAATGATGGAGATTCCACCACCTCCCTAGGCAATTTATTCCAGTGCTTAACCACTCTGAGGAGTTAGGAAGTTTTTCCTAATGTCCAACCTAAACCGCCCTTGCTACAATTTAAGCCCATTGCTTCTTGTCCTGTCCTCAGAGGTTAAGAACAATTTTTCTCCCTCCTCCTTGTAACAGCCTTTTATGTACTTGAAAACTGTTATCACGTCCCCTCTGTCTTCTCTTCTCCAAACTAAACAAACCCAGTTTTTCAATCTTCCCTCGTAGGTCATGTTTTCTAGACCTTTCATCATTTTTGTTGCTCTTCTCTGGACTTTCCCCAATTTGTCCACATCTTTTTTGAAATGTGGCTCCCAGAACTGGACATAATACTCAGTTGAGGCCTAATCAGAGTGGAGTAGAGTGGAAGAATTACTTCTTGTATCTTGCTTAGAGTACTCCTACTAATACATCCCAAAATGATGTTTGCGCCTTTTTTTTTGGGGGGGGTGCAACAGTGTTACACTGTTGACTCATATTTAGCTTGTGATCCACTATGACCCCCCAGATCCCTTTCTGCAGTACTCCTTCCTAACCAGTCATTTCCCATTTTGTATGTGTGCAACTGATTGTTCCTTCCTAAGTGGAGTACTTTGCATTTGTCCTTATTGAATTTCCCCAGTTTGTCCAGATCATTTTGAATTTTAATCCTATCTTTCAAAGCACTTGCAAGTCCTCCCGGCTTGGTATTATCGACAAACTAAAGCACGTGAACAGTGAAGTAGCAAATTTTGCAGGTGATACAGTTACTTAGGTTAGTCAAGACAAGAGGAAGACTGAGGAATTTTAGAGGACTGACAATGCTATCTGAATGGAGAGCATGATGGCAAATAAAATTAACTATTGACAAATGTAAGGTAATTGGAAAGAATAATTACAACTATTCATACTCAGTGGGTTCTAAATTTAACTCTAACCACTCAAGAGAAATACCTGTGTGTCATTGTGGACATCCAGCCCAATGACAATCTCTACTCAATGTACAGTGATCAAAAAAGCTAACAAAATTTTAGGATACTTGAAGAATTGAGTAGACTTATAATGGCATTTAATATTTTCAGTGTAAGTCAGTTGTGAAGTCTCACTGGAATTCTGTGTTTAGTTCTGCTCATTCCATATCAGAAAAGATATATTGCAGAAATAAAAGGGGCTCAGAGAAAGGTGACAAATGATTACAGGCATGGAAAAACTTCCATATGGGGAGACACTGGGGCTCTTTATTTTAGAGAAGACCAAAATAAGAGAGAACATGATAGAACTTTGCAAAACCATTAATAGTATAGGGAAAATAAATAGAGCACTCCTATGCACCTATTACAAGGTACAAGAACAAAGGGTCAGTCAATGAAACTGAAAGGCAGAAAATTTGAAATTGATAAAAGAAAATACCTTTTTAACAATCCATAATGAACCTGTGGAACTTATTGTTATAAGATGTCACTGAGGTGAGGAGTTTAGGGAATTAAAAAAAATCAAATGCTTATTTGGGAAATGGGAATATCCACAGTTTCATTAGCTAGGCTTTAAACATTTTTTGGAGGGAGTGTAAATCCTCATAGTTCAAGGCATAAGCCAACAACTGATAGGATTTTATGACAAAACTTCCCATATGAGCTACAACTATAGTTGTAGTTGTCTGCACCTTCTCCTTTAGCCTCTTGTACTAGCTACTGTCATAGGCAGGGTACTGGACTGAATGAACCACTGATCTGTTTTAGTGTGGCAGTTCCAATGTACTAGTTAGTTAAATCAATGGCAGAACAACTTTTCAGGCTCTGACTTAGAGGGTTACCCTTATTAAACCTAAATATTTCATACATTTACCAAAAAAAAGGCTTAAAGTTAAGTGAATTATCTTACAAACTTTAAATCAGTCCACTCTGTTTTGTATTAAAGCAATTTGAGTCGCTGATTTTAATCATTTAAATCAGCAATCAGGAAACCTCGATTTAAACCATTGATTTTAATCATGATTTGAATTTATAGTTTTTAGCTATTTTCCTAAAGAAAGGTTGAGTGTCATTGGATGGTAATCATTAAAACATGTTGATTTCAGTGGATTAAATACGATCTTTATACTACATTTGGTGCTTCTTTTTGCTAAGCAGGAGGACGCACTATATATGCATTTATTTAAGCAATTATATAGTTACATTTACATTTATTCAGACTCATAAATTTTATATTAAAATATAAAATTAAATTTTATGCTAGAAAATGGTGACAGCATTTCTTAATTACTAAATTAATTTTTTTACTTGTGATTTGTGTCAAGTTCTACTTGGATGAAAATTCAATTAAAAATGAACAAGAACAAACATTTTTATTAAATAAAATGCTTTCAGTGTCCTGGGAAGCAAAAGAGAAAAGTTTTTATCAAAACATCTTTTGCATTTAAAAACTGATCAAACACAGGAATTATTATCTGTATTTAGTGAATTGAGCTGATTATTTCTGGTCACTGGGTCCTTCAAGATTTTAGAACTAGTCGGTCTCCTCTTCACACCTAGTTTTTATGAACTAGTCATTGAACTGAGTTAGTTGAGTAAACTGACATGAAGAAAATACTCTGTGCATCTGCAAAAGAGACTACGGCTATCAAAAGCTGGTTTAGCACTTCAGCAAACTCTGGTTCCAGATACTTAGCCAGTGACTTCTATCAGTTTAGTGGTTTGACTTTCATTAACATTTGGCAGCAAATATGTCCTACTCTGTTATTTTTGTATTTAATTTAAATTATTTTAATAGATTATCAATTTCAAATTTAAAATGTTTAGTTTAAAAAAGTAAATCTTTATTTAATTTTTTAAAAATCTATTTTTTAATTATTAATGATTTTTTATCTATTCTAACATAAAAGCAATAGTATCTTAAATTTAGACAACATTGACCCAACAAAAACCCATCTCCTTGCCATTAGTTTGCCAATGACATTGAATCACACCCCCATACCAATTCTTTTGCTAGTGTGCTCACTTTCAATTAAAATATTTTCCAAACGGCTTTATTATATTATTTGCTGCTTTTAATACCTAGTACAGCTTATTTTCTCTCTGTGTGTATTAGCTTAGGTGTGTGACAGATAATGTGAATTGGGAACTTATATTTTGGCCATTCTGAAGCCATTTTCTCTTTGTACCCCCTTTTAAAGTAAGACTTGAGCAAAACAAATTTAAGATGACAGAGTTTATCATTTGGAGGAGCTAAAATATGCTACTTACCAAAAACAATGTTACTGACAAATGGCAGTATAGCAGAACCAGAATGAAAGGAAAACAGAAGGAAAAATCTCTTGTCAGTATATCTATATGCTAATTAGTAAAATTAGGGTGTAAAATATCTCCTTTCTTTATGGCTAACCTAAAGGGTTAATATTTACCCAACAATTTGGGTGCTTACAGACTTGTGTAGTTTTGATAATCAGAAAGACCTGATTGAAAACATCTAAGGAAAGGACACAGATGAGTATAGCTTGAGAAAATGGAATACAGACTGAAGGAATGGTGAGGCAACCTTAACTTTAGATTTTCCTGGACTCTGTGGGTATAAAACTTAAGTTTCCATTAACAGGTTTTTTGAGAGAATACATAACAAAATGTAATTTTGTTAAGCCATTCTTGTATCAAAACAAGGTGGCAGGAATTTAAGGATTTTACATCAAGTAAAATTATTGTACAAGATGCAATTGCTTTTTTTTTTAAATGGGAAGTTGAAAGATCTATCCACTTCATGCAGTTAACACTAGTTTTCTACTCCTGTAGCTGTACAGTGATGTGAATTAATTACTGTGAACTTATGCTTTGAATTTCTTTTTAAATTTTGTTGTTGTTGGGAACGGCATGCATCTTAACAAATACACTCAAAGCTTACAGATAGCTTTAGTAAGTTTACAGAATATTTATTTTTCTTTTTTCACATAGATGACAAGAGAAATGAAGACAAGACAGGAGAAACAAATGATGTTGCGTCATCAGGAAAGGCCAAAAGGAGATTTCCAGATTTTGGGTAAGAGACTTATGAGTTGGTGGAGGCTTTAAATATTACTTATGCTAAGTTACCATCTTCTTTAAATAGAAAATATTGTGAAACATACTTTTCCTGTGCATTTGTGATACTCTTTCTCCCACTCCTCCCCTGCCCCCAAGGTCCGATATCTAGATTCCTAAATTCCTTTAGCTAGCAGTCTACTACAAGGTCCTGTAATTAGAATGAGCACACTTTAAATTCTTTAATGAGGATCCATTGGAGAGCAAGTCTGGTGCCAGCAGCTGCGGTAATTCCAGCTCCAATAGCATATATTAATACCCACTTGGTCCTTGTCCACTTTCGCTCTCGTGCTTGGCATGGTAGAATTACCAAAACAAAATGTGTAAACACATACATAGTTTGTGGGACAGTGTACTTATAATATAATTGTGTTATGTGTATTATGGAGGTGCCAGCTGCAGCTCCATAATACATACACACAAAATTATATGTTTTGCACTTACAACAGACACTTTTTCTCCTGAATGATCTTAGTATCTCAATAATGCATCCTCTTCAAATGTTTGAAATATTTTTTAGGATTAGTGATCACTTTTTGCCACTAATCTTCGTAAGTTAAAGTTCCTCCTTTAAGCAGAGGCTGGAGAGTGGTTTGTCAGAGAATTCCTCAAAGAATTGCCTCCTTTCAAAACAGCCACCATCTTATTGTGTGCAGTAGTGTTGTAGCAGTATAACTGAAGAAGAGCTTGAAAGCTTGTCTCTTTCACCAACAGAAGTTGGTCCATTAAAAGATTTTACCTCACTCACCTTGTCTCTCTAATTTTATTATGATTATTATTAATGGAACTGAAGCCATGAACTGCCCTTAGCAAATATGGCCATTGTCTCCATTTACTTTATTACCCCCAGGATATGAGGTTAGCAAATGTTTTTTTTTTTTAAATAAATTTAATCTAAAATTAGACTAAACACTAAAATGCCTTAACCATAAGATTGTTGCATTGCAACACTACAGGGCAGAGTTATGCTTACTTGGGTGCTTTAATTGTTTGTTTTCGTATCTTACCATGTTCAGAATGTAACCTTTTTGCTGGAGCCAGGAGCCCAGTATTTTCTGTTTCTCTGCTTGGTTCTACCTGTTTTGCAGGTGCCTATTTTGCCCTACCTTTCCTCACATGGATGGGATTAGATTATAATGCATGCTCACTACACTGTTCCACAGAGGCAGGCAGCAGGGCACCAGGGAGTCAAATCTGCAGTCCAGTTTAAGGCTGGGAAGAGAGGGTCAGGGGAGAATCAAAAGTATAGATTAAGATGTTGGCTTGCTGGGAGGATGGTGCAACAGCTGAGATTTGGGGAGATGAAGAGAACAGCTGACAAAGCCAGCTATATAAGCTTCCCCCTTTCCATGGTACTTTGGAGGGCAACGCAGCCAAGCCACCTATCTAGCATAGCAGGAACCTGAGGATGGAGTCAGACTGACTGGAGAGCATAGCAAAAGAAAACCCCCCACCCCTGTCCTTTAAAATGCCACTTGATGTGAAATTTGTTTCAAGTTTGGGTCATTAAATATATGGACATAGAGTAAATGTTGCTGTGGAACGTAGGGGTTGCTCACATGGAATTTGGTACCATTGTGAAATGAGTACACAGGCCCTGAGTCCAACATTTTTTTTTTCCCCCTTTAACTGGTTTTCTCTCTGTTGACCTCCTCTATCTCCCAATGGTAAACGTATCAGTACTGGTGTTTTTATCCATTATATAGTAAACTGCTTGGGGTGGGGACCTTGTATCTATTTCTTTAGCATATACACTCTATAGGAGTGTAATTATTAAATTAAATCTTTTCCTTCCTTCTTGCATGTCTTCGCCTGTACGTAGTAATGCACCTTAAATCACATGAAAGATTTTCTGCAAAATTGGGCTCCACTGTGTGTAGTATTTTTTAAATTACTTTTGTGAATGTGTTATGAATTAAATTTGTATTAATACCTAACAAATATTTAACTCCTTTTGATATAAAGCATTAAATTGTAGTTAAAAAAATGTTTTTTTGTTTTTTGTTTTGTTTGTTTGTTTTGTTTTTGTTTTTTTCCAGAGGTTTACGGAAATCTGGTGGTAAAGGCAAGAAACAAGAGAAGGAAAATCCAAGGAGCTCTCTGGATAGCCGGTATTTTTTATAAATATATATTGCATTCTTAAAAATAATTAACTACCATTACTGTTATTCTTAAGGCTCAAGTACATGTTAGTATAAGAGCAATTAAATATCGCATAAATCAGTACATTGATGGGAAGATGGGATTCTATGCTTATGAAATAAGGAAAATAGTTTTACATGTTAGTTACTCATATTATGAAACAAATTCTATTCAGCTTGCAAGCAAAAATTATATTGTAATGTAGCAAGAAAAGCCACTTCGGGAGTAATTCTCAGTAGTCCCAGGATACTGGTTTGAAAGTGTTAAGCCATCTTGAATGTTTTTAAAGATGTTAAATAACTCTCAGCAATTATTTTTATATTAACCTTCTAAGATACATACATTTTGATTAATATGCCATTTAGAAAGACATACAGCAGGTTATTGCAAGACAATTATCATTCCATTTATTTATTTCAGAGGCTCCCGAGAGTTATTGGAAGACTCTGGCAACAATCAATCTGCATCAGATTCAGACTCTCCTGTTCCTACTTGCATACCTTTCTCTTGGTTTGGGGACAGTCACAAAGAGCCTCAGGTTTCCAGTAGCAGCCTAACCTTTTCTCAGAGTGGACAGGCCACTGTATTCGAACAGGGTCAAGAGAAAAACAGAAGCAAGGTAAACGTACACAAATAAGCTATATTTTGAACATTTGGGTTTGATATGGTTTTACTCATTCAGGGTCCAAGTTCTAAGTATTTAGGATCTTGAAAACTAATACTTACTCTAAGTGTTTTCAGATAGTAAGAGAAATGATTACAAGATTCTGTAAGTAATTGAGAGCCAACATTTGAGTTTGTATAAAATAAGCATGTGGTGAGAATTATCCTCCAAATTCTAAACACCTTACTTTATATTTTGCCAAGGAATTAAATAGGTCCTGCTCAGGAACAATGTATTTTGTTTTGTGTTCCTTCAGCTGGTTATGCACAAGTTAACAGTTCCTTAAACTGTGCATATTTTTGATGGTCACCTAATTTTATGCAGAAGAAAAGGAAGGAAAATAAAATGGTGCCTGTTGACTTCAGCATTCATAAAGGGCAGGGGTGGCAGAGCAGAGGAAACAATATATGCCAGAAGAAAAAATAAAATAAATTTTACTTACTTTCAAGTACAGAAAGTAAAACTTGAAAATGGGTAAACTTTTTTCAAGTGCTTATTTTGAAAATGGGAGCTAAGCTCCTAAGTCACTTAGGTGCTTTTGAAAAATTCACCCAGTGTCTGTTAAATACCTTGAACTGGGGTTCTCAATTTGGGGTCGCAAACAGGTGTAGGGAATTGTGACCACCTTGCCCTTCCCACATTGCTAAATTGGGGAGGGGGGGAGGGGAAATGCTGTCTTAAATCATTGACAGTGCTATTTTGAAAGTTTCTACTGAGTAATTCTACTAATGATTTGAGTTAAAAAAAAAAAAAAAGCTTTTTGTACATTCTGTAAAAAATGACACTACATAATTAAAATTACTACTATCAAGTTTCCGTCTTGACAGTCTGAACTATTTGGGTAAGGGTATTGTTAGGCTTAGGGGAAGCAGAGGTCCTGGGAAGAAGTAACTGAAATTTACTAAAAATTCTGATAATGTTCCCATTAAATACTTTTCATTTGGCTATATTTAAAGTCTAAAGTGAATGTAATTTCCATAAAACACTGGTTGTTGTCTAAACACATTTAAAAATAGATACACAAATAATACTAATCACTAAATTTCATTTTTAATTTACCTGTTTGTTATCTTTATTCCTGTGTTCCCTTTGGATTTTTTCTTGTCTGAGACTATAAACTACTAAAATATTAAACTTCCACAAAATTCAGTTTTAATTCCTACAACTGATTTTTTTGTCTTCAGTCCTCTACAGTGGGCTTTCACATTCTCCTTTTTACCACTTAATCTAGGGCATATGGAACATATAGAACAGAGTTTTTCTATACTATAGTATAGGGAAGCCACTGATAAATGTGTGGAGTTTGCTGATAACATAGTGCTGGCTCTCCTTGTCTAGTTGCTAATTACATGAAAATATAATTAAAATACGTTAAAAACTGGTCTGATGTTTTTCATGTAAGGAATTGCAGTAGTTGTCACAGGACTCAGTTAAGGGGTCTGCATACTTATAAGTGGGAGGGGAAGTGGTCTGTGAGTTTATAAGTAGGATGGAAAGTATTCTATTGCAAGATCTCTCTCTCTCTTGTAAACATCTGGTCCTTACCATGAAAAGTTTGAGAATCCCTAAAGTGGAACATGTTGGCCTTTTAGTTTAAAGAATGTTGTGCAGTTTTGGGTTTTTTGTTTTGGTTTTGTTTGTGGAACTTGTGTATCTTTGTTCTTCTCCAACCATCTATTGTATCTGTGTAGTAGGAGCCATAATATCTCCCTTCCTCCCCTGCCCCCAGGGATGCTCCTCCAAAGGGCTTTGGGGTCACCAGGCCCTCTGTTAAAGTGAGTGTATGTATCCTGGTGAATATTAGGTTATTCTTAATGTATAACTTATAAGGGATTTACAATTGATATCTCTTTATGATATTGCAAGAAATGATAGAATTTGCCTAAAGTGTTTGGGTACCAGCAGTTCAGCATTTCATGAACCATTTGAGGCATGATAAACCTGAGGTTCTCTCTATGTAGCCCTTCCCCCTGGAGGAATAGTTTTATTGATAGGTGGCAGAAAGCCCAGTGCTGTGATGTGCCAGCACATGCCCCACTTAAAGCATGCTCAGGTAGAGGATGCTGAGCCTGTTCTCCCCTGTATTGACTTCAGTTTCTGTGCGTCTGGGGATATCTTATCTCTCTCCCTCCAAACCCCCAACTGATTCATCCCGTTCATTGTCACCTTCAACATTCCAATAGATTGTGTCCCACCGCCAAGTGATTCCACTTCCCATTCCCTTCTCTCAGACCTCAGTCTTGATGGTTGCTCTTGGCTCTTTTCTTGGCTTAGGAGACAGTTTTTTCTGCCTGGAGGGCACAGCAGTCTTTAGCTAGTCATTAGGCTATGCTGTAGAGGCCCCTAGTGGTGGAAATGGACACCGATTCTTTAACTGTTACCTGTGTACTGACTGGCCCTAAATCCACACTCAGTGGAATACCAAATATTGTAACCGTCCCACCAAGATCAGCTTTGTGGTCTCTTCTTCTGGCTTAGTGGAACTACTGACACAGGCAGTTAGTAATCAAATTGTATTAACTGAATTACAAATAGTAAGGTTTTGGACAAATAAACCTAATTTTAGAAGAAAATGAAATTAAGATAGAGATGTAGCTGAGTTGTGTACCCAGTAATGCACACTGTCATTTAAGTAACACAAAATATGGACAAATTTCCTATTACAGCTTTTCCAGGGGAATAATATTGTTGAAGTTGAGGTTGGTTGTGTAATATTTATTACTTATTGGTGGTAATTTTAAGCCATTGTGGAGAATATTTTACAGCCATTGTGAAAATATACTGTTTAAAAGAAATAGTGGAATGTAGAAACTCTGAAAGTATGGTAAGAACTATTTCTGATTATTCTCTTGTGTGAGAATTTGTAAATGTAGCGTTTAATCTTTTGATAGTGTATATAACTACTCTAGCGTTAGGATTTTATTTCACTAATGTACAGAATTACAATTTACCGTATAATAGCAATTTTTCTAAATTGAAGAGATGTTAATGTTTGTGAAAGGTGATCACTTTGGAGACTTAAGTATTGTATTCTCAGGCATAGCAAGGGCATCAGTAGTACAAACTTTCCTACACTGTCCTGCCAACATGCTTCAACTGTCTGTTCAGTAGTTTGCCCTTTGATATTGACAAGTTACTCAGTGTTGTTCTTCCTAATACTACTTTACTTACAGTCCTTTCCTGTGGTAGAGCCCAGGGTGTGTATCTACCATTCACATAGGTCATTTTTTTTAGATAATAATTAACTTCTATAATGTTTGCTGTAACTTAGATATTTTTGCACTGCCTCCTAAGCTTCTAGCCAGGCACAAAAAAATTCCACACATTACCAAACAATACTGTATTGCTATGAAAAACATTGTAGTGTCATATATTTATAATCATCTTACTAAATTCCTTAATCTTTATGGAACAAAGGTGAAATGAGATCATTTACACCACTCCAGAGTTCTTGCAGAATTTTTTTTTCCCCTGAGCACTTATGCAGGAAGGATAGTTCTCCTAGTGAGGTGTAAACTTTTGGTGACATTCATTGTTTACTTAGAATTTTCCTCCTCTTTCCTGTGAACAGATTGATAGCCATGTTAAGCATTTGCAGGCAGTCATAGAATATCAGGGTTGGAAGGGACCTCAGGAGGTCATCTAGTCCAACCCCCTGCTCAAAGCAGGACCAATCCCCAACTAAATCATCCCAGCCAGGGCTTTGTCAAGCCTGACCTTAAAAACCTCTAAGGAAGGCGATTCCACCACCTCCCCAGGTAACCCATTCCAGTGCTTCACCACCCTCCTAGTGAAAAAGTTTTTCCTAATATCCAACCTAAACCTTCCCCACTGCAACTTGAGACCATTACTCCTTGTTCTGTCATCTGCCACCCCTGAGAACAGTCTAGATCCATCCTCTTTGGAACCCCCTTTTCAGGTAATTGAAAGCAGCTATCAAATCCCCCCTCATTCTTCTCTTCTGCAGACTAAACAATCCCAGTTCCCTCAGCCTCTCCTCCATAAGTCATGTGCTCCAGCCCCCTAATCATTTTTGTTGCCCTCCGCTGGACTCTTTCCAGTTTTTCCACATCCTTCTTGTAGTGTGGGGGCCAAAACTGGACACAGTACTCCCTGTGGGGAAATAGAACAGGGGGGGTCTACTTTTTGATAGCCAGAGCTGTGAATCTGAAGGCCCTGAAATAAACCCTCCAACAGAAATCTGTTTTATGCTGACTGCCCTTACACAGAGAGGTACAGGCCTAAGCCTGAGCAAGGCTGAACAACACAGTTCTCTGCCAAACTCGGTCAAGGGTAATGGCCAGAGGGGGGGCGGTGGAGAAGAAAAACACAGAATGATGCTAAAGGTTACAACAGAAACTGTGATGAGGCCTCACCAGTGTCGAATAGAGGGGAATGATCACATCCCTCGATCTGCTGGCAATGCCCCTACTTATACAGCCCAAAATGCCGTTAGCCTTCTTGGCAACAAGGGCACACTGTCGACTCTCATCCAGCTTCTCGTCACTGTAACCCGTAGGTCCTTTTCTGCAGAATTGCTGCCTAAATATATACAATAATATACTATGGAGACCATTGCTGCCCTCCATACGCGCACACATCTCCAGTGGACTAGCAGGTATGTATTTGGGAGCAAAATTTAGTCCTGCATGTGCAACTCTTATTTTGCTTTTATAATCAAAAGCACTTTTAAAGTTTAAGACTAACTTCATTTGATCACATGCCTCAGTGAATTCTATTTCAGCAAGATAAAAATAAAAGATTGTGATTAGGGGCTTAGAACCTGTTCTTTTAGGATCTTATTTGTTTGGAATGCTGAGTTTATCCTATGGCTTACTCTGAAAAGTTTGTCAGCGACAATATCTGTTTTTTTTGTGAGGCTTTAGTTTTATCTTAACTTTACAGCTAAGGTGACTGAGTCAAAATAAGAGGTCAGGTGACTTGTCCAAGGTGTCAGTTAGTGGCTGTAGCTAAATTTGAACCCAAAATGCTTAGGTTCTCAGCTCCTTGCCAAGACCTATTGGTGAAAATGCTTTCCTGACTAAGCACATACTAAATGTAGTAACTGATTTAAGTAGGTTAAAAGTTTAACAGTATGAAGATTAAACATTTGCTAACTATAAAAAATGATGCTTTACATTAGTTGTTTTTAACCTGAAATTTACTTGAGTAACAATGTATAGTCAGAAATATTGAATAATAGTATATAGTAGGTGTAGTCACTTATGGCAAGTACTTAAGAATATGTTCGCCAAAATTTACTATTTGGGAGATAATTAGAAAAATGTATTAACTTATATGTAGATTATCCAATGGAGTTGCTGCTGTAAATGTTACCACATTAAGACAGACAAAGCATTTGTTGTGAAGATTCCTGAAAAATTATTTAATTTACATTCTAAAATGTTGTGATCAGTTCAGCTCAGTACAAAAATAGGGCTCCTACTACGTATAGCCATCTTGACTGAAACTGGTTATAAATAGAAGACTTGACACATCTTTTCTTAAAAAATACCAGAACAGTGCAGCTATATCTCCTCTTAAATTCCTCCTGCTGATATTATACAATTATGTAGTACTTTGTATTCCAATATACTTTACAGACCTAACTATGCATTGATCACTTTATCTACTACAGAAATGCAGCCACCTCCAAGATGAAATGAGGATACTGTTTAAGTGCATAGCATTACCACACAACAGTTTAAGACAAGATTAAAACTTCAGGGGGAATTTAAGTATAATTACACGAGTAGAAATTTCCCCAAGGCACGGGGCTACTGTTGAGGTAGGGAAATCTTTATAATCATAAGTGGTCAGGATTTTAGTTTTGTGTCATTCAAAAGACAGTACGTTGTGTCCCATAATACCATGCTGTATCTTTAGTTTCATACAAATTCAGAGGGAATAATTCCACCAGCTGAATTTCTAACCACTTCCTGCATGACCTGGATGTACCTTTGAAATATTCTTTCCAAGTACTGACCTTGTTCAGTTCTACTTAACTTTAACATGACTGACTTGCTGCATAAAGTGGCATTACTGCTATAATAGTTGTTAATTTGGGAGTTCAGCAAAAACAAGTCAAGACTCCTGATGAAGTGAACATATTTCATACATGGTAGATCTAAAATGTATAGATAACTCACGTTTAATTTCTTTTTACAACGTATCAAGGGTACTAGAATGTCTCCTTGTGATCTACTATTCCAAGGGTTCAGTTAATAAAACATTATTTTCACTTGTTTGCAGAGTAGAATTGTCATAGATGATTCATACCATAGCAGGCCAAGTTGTGATCTGTCAGGGTTAGTGACCGAACCAAATCTGTCAGGGCGTTCACACACTTTAACCTTCTCTTCAAATGAGGTGAGTTTCAAAGTGTGTATATGTCTTGTTGATGTTACCATTCGTACTACGGACTGTCTATTAATATAATAGGCTTTGTTTTGTATGAAACTAGATAGTTATCACAGTATCTTAGTATTTTTTTTATCATTAATACTGAAATAGTTACTTAACTAAGGACTCAGATTGTAAGGAGGCATTTTAGCCTTTGCGTCACAATTTATAGTCAAATATAGCTTTAATTGGTAGTCATGCTGTACAATAAATTACAATTATGAATTTCAAAGCTATGTAACCCCCAAAATTTGAGTGGGTGAATGAAATTTGCAGGATTTTTCAACGTGCCTCAAATCAGTGCACATCTTTTCATGTATAAGATAACAAACTATTTAGATATATTTAATCTATACAAAGCATTTAATCTATTTAAAAGTCAGAGTTCTTTTTCTGGCAAAACTCTCACCTTCTTTGCTTCAGCTGAAATCTTAGACTTAATCTAGTCTTTTATACATTTTAAAAAGTATATCTGTTTAAAGGAATTAGTCATTGTTTTATAGAACAAACAGTAAAGGAACGGAAGCAATTGCAAAAACTATACTTCAGTAATCTTTCAGATGAGAGTTCTAGTGCCTGCAAGCCAGCTAAACTAATAGTGATAATGTTTGAAGAAAATTTTTAACAGCAGGTCATAAATGATCTGATGCTCTTAGATAATTAATTTAAACCAAATTTTGGTAAAGTGCATAAAATATATTCTGATATTTATTATCTGAAAAGATAGACTTTTATGCATGATGCTACAAGTTTGTGTCCATTAGCACAAAAATTACATGGTGTCTAAAAAATATATATTAATTGGTCACAAGTTTCAGGACTGGAATAATTTCTGATGGTTTTTTTATGGGGAATAGTCATATTTCTAATCAAAATCCAAGGATATCTTAGTACATACCACTGGAAAGGAGTGTGCTCTTTTGAGGTTAGTGGATGGAATTCATGCTGCTAAAAATGTCAAGTAAAGATTTTAAACAAATCTGCATTACTAAGCCCAATATTTTCTTGAGTATTTGATCATTAAGTTTCAAATGCAGTTTTTAGCCAATTCTCAGTTTTAGACTTCCAGCAATAGTTGTCTGTATGCAGACATAGTGTTTATAAAATTGCAACTAAGCCTAGATTGTACTAGTAAATGTAACTCTTTCGTGGTACCAGTATTGTTACTTGTTCGTTTGATATTTGTATGAGCTTTGTATGTCAACAAGTGAAAGTTATCTTTAAACACCAGTTTTTTTAGCAATTATCTTAAATATCCTTGTCCTATCCCAAGAAAATTTGTATTTGGAAATACTGAGCTTGCTGCATTTTTGTGCATGAAGCAGTTTTTTCAATGAGAAAGGTATTTTACCTGTACTTGCAGCTCTCCAACTTCAGAAAAATTGGCAGTCAGTGAGAGGCTGTTAAACTGGTACCTGTCATAAACTATGCTATGACTTGTACAATAATTGTGTTTAAAAAAAAGTTGCTCAACAACTGCATATGCATGGTAGAAAGATTAAAATTGTTCCTGAATTATGACTTTACATGGTAAAAAGTAAGCAGTATTTGTTTCCACTCATTATTATTAGTTCTGGTATAAGTGAGGGTCAGGTTAAGTAAATGGCCAATTTTGGTTATTCTTAAAGCTTAATTTTGGATATTTAGGGCTTCGGACTTAGCACCTCCTTCACAGGTAGAAGTTCCACCTTGCTCAGGTAGTTTCATATATCATCACCAGAGGTGAACTAGCCACAATAGCATCCCCTGCCTTCAAAGGAACAAACTTCTACTTCAAAAAGCTGCTGCAAAAGAGGGAAAAGGGGGAAGCACCAGTACACACCTCTTCCATGCCCTTTAAAAGTCTAGAATGGGCTGGGGATGAAATACCTCCTAAAGGTGTATGAGTTGGCTGGAGAAAGGAGTTGACCCTATGACTCCTCCCTCTATTGCAGTTGAGGGTAGGTAGAACACAAGAATATTCTCAAAAATATAGAGAACTGACTGAAGAGGAGTGCTTCTGGGGAGTTCTGCAGGCTAGTTGCAGAGAAGCCAGTCCTGCATATTGAGCTTCCCAAGTGTCTTGCTAGTGAACTGGATACCACCCAGCATGTAGATGCTCCCCTCTTCCCCTCTTGGGAACATTTTGATCTGTTGCTGATGTCTCACCATCCCCTTACAGTCTTTGGGCACTGTGGGGTCTTATCCTCAGTCACTCCCAAGATTGCCCAGATACTTTGGGGTGAGGAAAGTTGATCTCCCTTGTCTCCACAACTCTCTTGGATCCTGTTCTTTGAATTGGCAGTCATCTTTTTCTGCAAGCAGGAGCTGCTTTTTCTGCAACAGCTCCTGTGACTGGCTTCACTCCTGTTGATATACAAACAGTCAGGGACAGCACTTCTTCTGCCTATGAAACGGAGAGGATCAGTTAGGGATCTTTAAATGTTAAAAATTAACATACCTGTAGCTGGTGGTGGGGTGGGTTTGTTTGTTTGTTTTTTAAGGGCATATGCTCACCCTGACTCTCTTTTTGCTGCTTTTCAGTTTTCATAAAAAGAGAAGTCCATCCACGCTTTAAGCCATTTTCCTCAGTGAAGATAGAGGAAAACTGAGCTAGCATTTAGTGACTGGCTGGGGAGCAATCAGCTGAGGCACTTGTATGTTGTTTGTGGGCCCAGTTTTAAAAAAAAAATTCTTGTGATGCAGCACATGCAAGGGAAAAAAATATTTACTTGAAGCTACGTTTTAAAATGCTTTAACTGAGCAGAATCTAAGGCAGTACACTGTATGCTGAGGTCAGAGTTTGTCATAGTAACGGTATGTCAAATTGGGGAGAGTATTGGTATTTTGGTATTATCTTATATACTCCTACCCCGATATAATGTGGTCGTTGGGAGCCAAAAATCCCTACCGCATTATAGGTGAAACGCCATTATATCGGGGTACCGGTGGCAGGACTCCAGCAGTGATTTAAAGAGCCTGGGGCTCTGGCTGTGGGGAGCCCCAGGCCCTTTAAATCACCGGCTGAGCCCCGCTGCCGCAGCCCCTGGATAGCGGCGGCAAGGCTCCAGCGGTGATTTAAAGGGTGCGGGGCTCCCCGCAGCAGCCGGAGCCCCGGGCCCTTTAAATCGCCGGCCGAGCCCCGCTGCTGCGGCCCTGGGGTAGCAGCAGCAAGGCTCCAGCGGTGATTTAAAGAGCTCCAGGCTCCGGCCGCTGTGGGGAGCCCGGGCCCTTTAAATCACTGGCCGAGCACCGCTGCTACCGCGCTATATGTGAACCCATGTTATATCAGGTCGTGTTATAGCGGGGTAGAGGTGTACTAATTTAGATTCTTCTTTGGTCAGTGGCCAGGTATGCATGTGCCTCATGAGTCTTTGTTTGGAGATTTTCATTAGCAGTGTTCATTCAACCTGTTCATGCACTGTTGAGATCCTCATGCCCCATACCAAGGCTATATCAGGCTTGCAGGCGAATTGCCTTCAGTTCCTCCTCAGCTGCCTCGGCCTGAAACAGAACTTACTGTATCCACGTTGGGCATGTCTCACTTACTTGCTTACTTTGGTATAGCTTAATTTATTTTACTTTTAGTTAGTGAGTGTGTTAGTTTGTAGTTAGTTCAACTGGTTATTTAAAAGATTTGTTTTATTTCCTCCAGGGAGCTCGTCCCTGCAAGGGTTATGCCCAGTTCACCGGACTTTAAATGCTGCCTTGTGTAGAGGTCATTCTGGTCAACAACAGACACTCTTGAGTGCATTTGCTGCCTAGAGAAGTTGCACATTGCGCAGAAGGGTAACTTCTGTTTCGCCCTCAAATCCAGGCCTCTAAAAGACCAGAAAATCAAGCTGTGGCTGTTGATGGTAGAGCAGTCATTTTTCCCCACTTCAGAGCCAGGTCAGAACAACAGCCTCCCTTCCCCTCAGTATATCAATCCCTGGGGAGTATCTTGCACCCTTCAAGCTTGGTGCAGTACTCCCCCAGAAAAGGGAAAGCCTCAGAGACCTTCTCTAAAGGTCCCCAAAAGAGGATCTCTAACTCTCCTATTAAGGAGTGTACCTCAGAATGACCTCATTCTCTGAGCAGGTGAACAGCTTCTTCAACTTTGAGAGTCATTACTATAGAGGCGAATGTCTTCTCCGATAAAGGCAAGGGGGGAAATCACGTGTCTTTAAGGGTAAGCATGTCTCTCTGAGAAGAACCCACTACCGCTTAGCAGAAATGACCAGAACAAATACCTAAGACCAGTACCACTGGACTTAACCCCTCTTCCAGTACCCCTGTTGGGTTCTTCAGTACCATGTATGACTAAGTCTCCATCTATGTCAGTGCCTTCTGTAAAGCATTTGAAATTCTCAGTACCATTCTGCAGGGATGAGCATACCACGCCTTTGGTACCACAATGGTTACCACAATTCTGCTCAGTACTGCAAGACTTTAAGTACCCAAAGGACTTATGGAACTGGAGTCTCCATCAGTACTGAGAACCACTGTCATAGACTCATATACCTCTCTGATTAACCTTCCTTTTCAGTTGGAGTTCCCCAATTAGAGGAGGAAGAGTGATGGAGACCTCCCTTCAGTATCACTAATATCTGTCCAAGGTTCTCCTGTGTACCCACATAGGAACCTCTTTCTCAAAGAGACAGAGGATTTCTAGGGAGCTCATCATTCTTGGTGGAAACAACCTTGGATGCCTGCCCCCGGATATGGTGCTCAATAACCATATGGGACTCCTGGATAGCTTATTGTCAACAGTTCTCCAAGGCCTCAACTCACTCCCATTGAGATGATGGTGGAGACTCAAGCGTCTCCTCTCCCATCACACCACTCAAGAAGAAAGGTTTGAGAATCAGGAGGCAAGGGCAGCTAAAGAAACCACCCTTCAGACTACCATCTCATCCTCATCACCCAAAGAGGTGGTAATGACGCTTCCTCCTACGGCCAATGATTGTCAGCAATTTCAAGACCTCATTAAACACATGGAAGACTCCCTACAGATACCTCTCAAGGAGATCAAAGAATCACGACAGAAGCTGTTGGATATTGTTCACTCTGCAACACCATCCAGGGTTGCCCTTCCTATCAATGAGGCTCTGCTGGAACCTGCAAAAACCATTTGGCAAACTCTGGCCACAGTAACACCTATGTTTTGGGAGAGCCGATAAAGTATTATGTTCCCACCAAGGACTCTGAGTTTCTATTTTCCCACCCTCCACTCAACTCTCTGGTAGTTGACACCAGTGAACAAATGGTATAAGTGCCCCACCCCCACTGTATGACAGACCAGAAGTGCCTGGACCTTTTAGGAAGGAAATCTTATTCATCTACAACCATAAAATTCCACATTATGAATTACAGGAAATGATGGCCAAATATAACTTCAAAAATTATGCAAAATTCATTTTTCATTCAACACTTTCCTCCAGACCAAAGGGAATAATGTCAGGCTACCATTGCTGAGGGACAGGTACTGGCGAGGACATCTTTCCAGGCAGCTCTGGATGATGCAGACACTGTAGCCTGCTCCATTTCCACGGCAGTGGTAATGCACAGGGCATCTTGGCTATAGTTGTCTGGTTTCCCCAGAGAAGTCCTGAATATGGTAAAGGATTTCCTGTTTGATGGACTGAAGTTGTTCATGGAGGATACTGACAAGCTGTTGCAGATTCCAGGGTCTCATTATGTTCTTGGGCATCTACGCTCTGTGATGGGGCAAGACCAGATGGCTATAGGAAAGTAGTGTAAAACAGTATGTTAGTATGAAAGTAGCAAGAAAGTATGTTAACCCCAGGCTAAACAAATCCCCGTTATCATGATAACCAAATGGCAGTTGCTCCAGGTTAGACACTTGGGGCTAATTAAGATCCTTCTAAAAAGCAGGGGAGACAACTAGGTTGATTGGGACACCTGAAGCCAATCAAGGGCTGGCAGGACGTAGTTAAAAGCCTTCCAGTTAGTCAGTTGGACATGCGTGTCAGGAGCTGTAGGAGGAAGCCATGCTGCTGGAGAAACTAAGCAGTACAAACCCTATCAGGCACAAGGAAGGAGGCCCTGAGGTAAGGGTGAAATAGATGTTGAGGAAGTGGGGGGCTGCTGTGGAGAAGTGGCCCAGGGAATTGTACTTGTCCTGTTTCAAAAAGTCAGCTACCAATAGCTGCTATTATTAGGGTCCCTGAGCTGGAGCCTGGAGTAGAGGATGGGCCTGAGCTCCCTTCCCCCCCCCCCCCCCCCCCCCCCCCCC